TGAGCTCTAGCACCAGTGACAGGAATGGTGCTGCTGGTGTAGCTCCAGCGGCTGCAGTGCTGTTTTACCATACCCAGGCAAATGGATTTAGTAGTGGGGGAAGGGAGTAGTTAAAAAGAAGGAGCTTTGTTCTGCTTTCTCCATGTTTCATCCCATGTTGGTGTTGGGCATAAAAGAAGCAGCATGCCTAAGCCCCACAAACAGAATGTTCCTTTTTTCCAGTGACTCCCTAGCTTTTAGTGCAAAGGAAAGAAACAAGACACACAAAATTATTGTGCTATGGATTTATAATAACATTTTATTAATATATTATGCTACAAAAATATTTTGATAAAATAATATTAGAAAGCATCTTTTTATTACACTCTTCAAAACAGTTCACAAAAGCAGGAGGCGGAACAGGAAAAATATCTGAAATACATTTGAATTGAAAACTGACAAATATGCAATCTGAATTTCGGTGTGAGCATGATCTGCAGGGTGGTTAATCAGTCCTGTAGAAGGAAAGTATTGCCTACTTATTGCAAAGACCTCTCTGCCTTTAGCTAGATTAAGGTGCCTCCTGAAATGTTAGTCATATAAAAGGCTGAATTTGGGTTGGGACAGAACCCAGACAACATACACACGTAAGCTTAAATGTGCACACACACCCACACACATCCACACACAGACCCACACCCTATGATCTCGAACTTCAGCAAATTATCTTTCTGCTTCAGTTAAGCTGAAACACGCTTAAACTGAAGCTGGGTTGTAGCACACTCCATGGAACATTGATCACTTCAGAGATATGACAAGACCACATAATTTTTGGATATAATACAGAAATACGGTACTAAGCAAAGTTTGGCATGGTAACACATGCTGAGATAATAACCTTGGCACTTTGGTTTCTCTAACATAAATATATGTTGGGAAATTCCTCCCTAAGAGTGGTATATGGTAATGACTGAGTCATATCATTTGACTAATCAATGCACTAAACAGATTAAGTTCTCCCTCTTTCCATTCTCTCTTTCTCCACAATTGTATACTGAAGAATTTAGATAAATATACAACTCTGTACCTTGGGTGTTCCTAAATTACAGTGGAGCTTGGAGGAATGGGAAGGGAAGTTCAACAAAGCAGATTTTTTACACCTGTATAAAGCATAGTTATCATAAATCATGTTCATCATTTATTGCCAGAAGACTTATTGCATTATTCAACAGCTCTAGGGATTGAAGAGAAACTACTTCAGTCATAAAATATAAAATACCTTCTGTCCCAGCTTACTGACTGGCTCTCCAAGTGGCAGTGCATGTTAATATAGTATCTGTAGTTAAGCAAGAAAAGCATTAAAACACTGAAAGGGGAGAGATTAGATTTGTTGCTGATGATATGAGATTATTTATTCCACCAGGCAAGATCTTGGCAGGTACTCAGCACTTGTTGATAATGGTAGAGTTACATTTAATGTGAATTGTGTTGGTGTCCCTTGTAACAGTGTAGAGAAGATGAATCATGAGACCAATGAGCTTTGGACTCACCCAAAGTTGTGTCCTAGACTGCCAGACACTGGTGACTCTCTTGATGCTGATTCTCAGAGATAAGCAGGATCACCAGTGTTTGCTATTTTATGTGATGGGCGTGACTGTTTTTGCTAAATCTCCTGCTCTTGGAATCTTGTGAAAACATGGCAATCTGAGCTTTCATTGGAAGAAAGAACAAGTCAGTTTTAATTCTGTGAGAAATACACAGAAGAAACTGAAGCCCCCTGAAGCTGGTAGTCAGTGTTGCTTCCAGAACATGTATCAGATCTGGTCCAGGTTTTAAACTCATGGTTTAGAAAACCATGAGAAATTCAGAAATCATGATCCATTGTGACAAGGTGCATAAGTCTGTGCTAGCCACTACTACTGTGTTTTAATTAATGCTGGGCTGCCACAGCTGATTAGTAAACAACTCATTTTATCAGCCACAGTGAGGGTTCTTTATCCAGCATTGCTCTGCACACAGTATTGAAGAAAGTGACCCTAAGTTGTACTTTAGGGTAAGAGAATAAAAGGAGTGTTTGGTTAGAGACCTGTGCTAAGCCATTCACGTGGGGTTCCTGAGCTAAGATCTACAGAATCCTACTCAACCTTTAAGTCATGTCTCCTCCCTGAGCCAGAGATGACTGAGGCAGCTGCTTCCAGGTGGCAAAAATCAGGTGTGTAGACCCCAAATCCAAAAGACACCTTGTTTTCACACCTGTGCTGCACAAATGTGGGGCACCAGCACCAGGGTTTAGTAAAATTCATTAATTTCCCAGAATTACAGAGAAAATGCCAGGAAATTCAAAGATGTTAAAACATACTTTGATATCCAAGCCATTTACATCCTATGATAGCCAAACATACCACAGTATCTGAGCTAATGAAAATTGAATATTACTGTCCAGTGTAGGAATGACTCAGAAAACCTCACTGGTGATAAAAGAGTGACTTCTGTGCAGCACAATGACAGCTGGGAGTGTGGAGAGATTTGTGTGCTCCTAATATTAAAAAAAAAAAAAAAAGGAAAAAAAAGGAAAAAGAAAAAGCCCCAGAGGTTTATGGAGAAAGCCACAGATTGGGAAACTTCAGAATTGTAATTTCTAGTCTTGGTCCCATTGTTGGTTTTCCTTACAGTCTTGGACAAGCTGTTTCTGTTTTCTGCTCTTTTTTCTCTCTCTTATCTTTACATGGTCTTGTCTATTTATACTGTAGGTTTTCCAACACCTGGAATTATTCCTGGCACCACAGAATAATTCCTGGATACGATCTGGTTACAACAAATAAAATTCAATGGGTTTTGGTTTGTTGGCTGTTCACTTTTACTATGTAACTTGTCATTGCCCTTAAGATTTACCTACCTTATTTCCAGTTACAGTCTTGTAAATAAGACATTATAACTCAGTTTTCATCTCTGCCTTGAACACATCAGGAGAACCAATAATCTTTTTAAAATGCATTACTGTTAAATTTGAAGGTCTCTTAAACTATAATATTCAAATGAAGGCATTTCTAGAGTAATAGCTCAAATAAAACCAAAATGAAAGTTCTCAAAATATGTTTTCAATATCCATCTCTGTGCAATAAATATTATGCAAGGTGAATGGCTTCTGTCCAAAACTAACATCTCTAATCTTCTGCTAGCCAAAATACACAATATGAAAGTATGCACGGGGTCTGTTTGAATCTCACATTTGGGGCAAAGCTCAAAGTTTTCCATTCAGCCTTATCAACTGTTGGGGGAAGCTTATAACACTCTGTGCTATTTCCCACTTAAATTGACCAGAAACCTGCAGAATCTGCTGTCAAAAATAGAGCAAAGTCTGGGGATCATGGTGTCCAGTAAGTTAAAAAGAAATTACCTGTATTGTCCTGGCCTTTGCAAGGCAATGGGCTGGGATGCACGATGGAAATGCTCAGTATTTCACCAGGAAATCATGTGATTTTTGTGGCCTAGTTACTTTCTAACTTACTTTCATGAAATAACTGGTATGACAACAAGCAAACTGTGAATTCTGAACTCTCTCTCACTGCAGAGTCTTGCAGATTGCATGGAATCATCTGCAGCTCCAGAGACCAGGCTGTAGGGCTACTGGTCAGCCAGAATTTTACCAGTGACATTGTTAAAATTATCATCATTATCTTTCTTTTGAAAGTGAAGAAGCACTGCTTTTCTTAGTACTTTTAAAGAAAAGCTTGTATTGTATTTTTCTGATTTGGAGACTTTTAAATTAGATGTTTTCATCACACAGTTTTGATTTTTGGTTTGCAGATGACTTAGGAAACAAACCCACAATTTTAACCAAAACTCATTTTATAAACTCATGTATCCAAAGAGATTTTTCATCCTGTTCTGGTAGTGAAAAAAACATCTCCATGCCTTTTTAAACATAATAATTTTAAAGATGGTACTGGGATTTTTGCACATAGATGATGTAACTCTCATTTCTCAACATCAGCTGTTTGGATAGAGAGCACATTTTTCAGTGAGGGTAAGGTGTCATAACTTTTCCATCTAAGTCAGATACCATAGTTTAGAAATGGAAGAATGTTCTGCATGTCTCCATAAGATGGGGGTTAGTTTGATTCCTGTGGTGTTGAGCAGATTTTGGACAAGACATAATTATTTCAGCACAGAGATATCAGCTCTGTCAGCTCATGGTAGCAAGAGAAAGAGGAATTTGTGATGTTTTTTGCCTCCAGGTTGTCCACGACCATTAATACAACTGGTACAAAGGAGTTCTATAGATTAGCAGGACACTACATCTTTATAATCTATAGGCAGACCAAGCTCTCTTCTCATTTATGCTCGAAAAGGTTGTAGGCTTATACTTATATAAAATGAGGGAGAGAAGAAAAGAATTCCAAGTAGGATTATTCCAGACTTTGAAAGCAATTTTTTATTAAGAAAAGGGTGTCTTAATATGCGTTAGCTGGTGAATTAATTTCAGGGCAAAGGGGGAAACTGGTAATTTCTGAAGAAGTTAAATAGTTTAGTTAAAGAAAACAGGGGTAATGTAAAGGATTATTGTGAATAATGACTTACTTAGTCATGTAAGAATAACTGGTATTTTAGATTGTGGCAGCTAATGAGTTAAGAATGCACGTATTTTTCTAAAGGGCACAGGCCGCAGAGAGCAGGATCTGCTTTATTCAGTGTAAGATATGCTAATGAGATAAAAGAAGTAAAATAAAGAAGTTTAGCAGAAATGTACTTATTGGACAGCTGCTGTAAAATGTAATGGTTAAAGAAACAAAGAAAGCATTCATTTGGTGTCAGTTCAGACATTTGCAGAATTGTCAGAAAACAAATATAGAAAATATTAATTTATCTGTTTCACCATCGCTACTGATTAATAGGGATGTTATTAACATATACAACAAGAAAAATAAGTTTACCAGTCGAATAAATACATTTTTCTTTTTCTTTTTTTTTCTTTATATGAACATGTATATTTTACAAAACCCTAGCCAAAATACACAATATGAAAGTATGCACGGGGTCTGTTTGAATCTCACATTTGGGGCAAAGCTCAAAGTTTTCCATTCAGCCTTATCAACTGTTGGGGGAAGCTTATAACACTCTGTGCTATTTCCCACTTAAATTGACCAGAAACCTGCAGAATCTGCTGTCAAAAATAGAGCAAAGTCTGGGGATCATGGTGTCCAGTAAGTTAAAAAGAAATTACCTGTATTGTCCTGGCCTTTGCAAGGCAATGGGCTGGGATGCACGATGGAAATGCTCAGTATTTCACCAGGAAATCATGTGATTTTTGTGGCCTAGTTACTTTCTAACTTACTTTCATGAAATAACTGGTATGACAACAAGCAAACTGTGAATTCTGAACTCTCTCTCACTGCAGAGTCTTGCAGATTGCATGGAATCATCTGCAGCTCCAGAGACCAGGCTGTAGGGCTGCTGGGAAACTTACAGGGTTGTTTTCAGCCAGAATTTTACCAGTGACATTGTTAAAATTGTCATCATTATCTTTCTTTTGAAAGTGAAGAAGCACTGCTTTTCTTAGTACTTTTAAAGAAAAGCTTGTATTGTATTTTTCTGATTTGGAGACTTTTAAATTAGATGTTTTCATCACACAGTTTTGATTTTTGGTTTGCAGATGACTTAGGAAACAAACCCACAATTTTAACCAAAACTCATTTTATAAACTCATGTATCCAAAGAGATTTTTCATCCTGTTCTGGTAGTGAAAAAAACATCTCCATGCCTTTTTAAACATAATAATTTTAAAGATGGTACTGGGATTTTTGCGCATAGATGATGTAAATCTCATTCCTCAACATCAGCTGTTTGGATAGAGAGCACATTTTTCAGTGAGGGTAAGGTGTCATAACTTTTCCATCTAAGTCAGATACCATAGTTTAGAAATGGAAGAATGTTCTGCATGTCTCCATAAGATGGGGGTTAGTTTGATTCCTGTGGTGTTGAGCAGATTTTGGACAAGACATAATTATTTCAGCACAGAGATATCAGCTCTGTCAGCTCATGGTAGCGAGAGAAAGAGGAATTTGTGATGTTTTTTGCCTCCAGGTTGTCCACGACCATTAATACAACTGGTACAAAGGAGTTCTATAGATTAGCAGGACACTACATCTTTATAATCTATAGGCAGACCAAGCTCTCTTCTCATTTATGCTCGAAAAGGTTGTAGGCTTATACTTATATAAAATGAGGGAGAGAAGAAAAGAATTCCAAGTAGGATTATTCCAGACTTTGAAAGCAATTTTTTATTAAGAAAAGGGTGTCTTAATATGCGTTAGCTGGTGAATTAATTTCAGGGCAAAGGGGGAAACTGGTAATTTCTGAAGAAGTTAAATAGTTTAGTTAAAGAAAACAGGGGTAATGTAAAGGATTATTGTGAATAATGACTTACTTAGTCATGTAAGAATAACTGGTATTTTAGATTGTGGCAGCTAATGAGTTAAGAATGCACGTATTTTTCTAAAGGGCACAGGCCGCAGAGAGCAGGATCTGCTTTATTCAGTGTAAGATATGCTAATGAGATAAAAGAAGTAAAATAAAGAAGTTTAGCAGAAATGTACTTATTGGACAGCTGCTGTAAAATGTAATGGTTAAAGAAACAAAGAAAGCATTCATTTGGTGTCAGTTCAGACATTTGCAGAATTGTCAGAAAACAAATATAGAAAATATTAATTTATCTGTTTCACCATCGCTACTGATTAATAGGGATGTTATTAACATATACAACAAGAAAAATAAGTTTACCAGTCGAATAAATACATTTTTCTTTTTCTTTTTTTTTCTTTATATGAACATGTATATTTTACAAAACCCCATAGCACTATGGGAAATAAAGATCCTTCTACAAAAAGAAGATGTAAGTCAGTGTTACAATAAAGCTTTAGAGTTTCAAAATGTATCTGGGCAAAGAGACAAAATCAGCTAGAAGGCACTACTGAGTCACTGAGAAGGTCCAGCTTGTAACTTGTCTTAAACTCCAATTTGTTCATAAATTATCTCTCTATTCCAAGGGACTGCGTGTAATATAATGTGGTCAGGAGGGCTGCAGCAGGCTCAGGAGAAAAGAAGCTACGGCCATGCAGAGAGGAAATGTTACTGATGGCCATGAAAGGCTGGCTGGGGCTGAGCTGGTGGGCTGGGGCTGGGAGGGGCGCTCGGGACGCGGCCGCTGATCCAGCTGGTTGGAAATCCAGATGGGAGGTTTGACCGTGATGTAGCCATTGGTTATCCTGATATAGGAAGGCAACGTGGTGGTGCTGGAAGAAAACACAAGAGAAGGAAATTAAACAGGAGAGCCGTTATCTCTACTCTGTGAACTGGCAACCACCGTGGCAATTCCAACTATTATCATCATCATCATCATCATCATCATCATCCATTAGACAGCAGGGAGGGAGCCAGAGACTGATAACTGTGATGATGTGGAAACAGCTCTGATCCAGGATGTCCCTCAGCTTCTGGCTGCTGACAAAATACAAAGGAAGGACTGGTCTTAATGCATCTGACATACTGCACTCCATTTTAAAGCATCCATTACTGTTGGAATACTAAACACATTACTGGCCAGCATCAGAAATGGTGCTAAATGTATCCTCATGCTGACCCAGGATGACCTTGCTCTTATTGATCTTTCTCCCCACCAAAGGTCTGAAACTCTGCCATGTCGCAGTGATGTGTCTTACGCTCCATGAACCACATCCTGAGTGACCAGGAGGGTCCAGGATACATTCCTTCCCTGTTTCACAAGCCTTAAAGAACTTCCCAGGATCCCCTTACACAGCTGATAACCTTGAGCATGGGAGAATGAGCAGGTTCATTTCTTTTCCTGGCTTTAAGCCATTTTGGATCAAATCACAAAGCCAAAACCAGACTCAGTTGCTGTTAGGTTTCCCTGACTGTGGATTTGCCTCAATAGCAGTGTGATTGCTTATTGATTGTAGCTTGAGTTAGTACTTTGATTTGAATTTGCAGGTTGGAATTCATCATGACTCCCATGACACTGGGGGTCAAAAAGGTCCATTTACGATTGATTTGGAAGTTTAAACTGTAATCTCCATTTCAAAAAATGCCCCCATTGCATCCATTATTGGATGATCCATAATCCCCCAGTTGTCAGGGAGCAGCACAACCAAGCATACAAACTGCACAGGGTGGATTTTGGACTTAAACCCAAGACATTCTGCTGAGAAGTGAGGAGAAAAACGGCAAGGGCCCCTGAAAAAAAAAAAAAAAGTGACACTAATACCTGTAGATTCTCTAAATCTTCCATAAGGGAGATTTGGAGGCACTGAAAATGACCTTCATATAATTTTTTAATGGGGTAAGAAGTTATGCAGTCCTATAAATATTTAGCTACAGTATCCAGGATCTTGACCTTGGAAGGAAAAGGTTTTGTCTTGCATAATATCAGATGAAAGGAATAACATCTTACTTCAGATTCCTGCACAGAAACAGAATTTAGAAGGACTAAAAGCTTTTGTCTTATTCTGTCTAAGCAATACCAAGATGGATTTTAGCTGAGATGCTTCAAATGTGCTGAGTCAATCACAAACTGAGAAGACCAGAGCCCACCCTGTAGAGGGCATTGGTCAACATCAAATCCCATGGACAATCCCTGCACATTACACTTCACCCCGAGTTTTGGGAGAAGTCACTTCATTTCTTCCCTCATCCTTTATACTGTCACCACAGCTTCTGGGTGGGACAGTTGTTCTGCAGTTAGAAGTGATCTGAACTAATGTAAAATGAATTACAGTAAAAAGAGAAGGCAGTCTTCAATAAAGACATAAAATTTGCTTCATGGGAGCAGATAATCCATCTAAGCAGAATTAGGATTCTGACACTGAGGAGCAGTGCTTGTTCCAGAGCAACAAACTGCTGTGAACAGAGAACTCTGAAATCAAGGCTTGTTGGAGAAAGTTCTCTGAATTCCCATGGTGAGTGGTTGGTTTATGTCTTGACGTGATGATATAAGACACCCAGCTTTAGAGTTTCTGCTATATTGCATCAGAATTGCTGCAGTCACTTAACACAAGAGCTGATCTGCGATAAACTAATGCTGCTGCTTCCAATCTGCCCGGCAGGAATGGCACTGGATTAGCCACTGTGTGGCCAAGCTCCTGTGACATAAGTAACATCATTCCCACAGTGAACACAAAGCATCATTAAAGCAAACTTCTGACACAAAGAGGTACTGCACGCTCTGGGTAATCCAACACAAACGCAGCCATGCTTCAATTTCTGATCCAGCTCTCATTTATGCTGCTGAGTGATGAGGTGGTGCACAGGTCTGACAGCACTGACAGTGGGATCACAACTTGGGTTTTTCCCTATGCCTGGTTTCCTAAGGTAAGCATGGGTAGGTGTTTGTCCTCATCTTTTGGTACTGATTGTCATGTTACGGAACTACAAAATTTTGCCCTAAATTAGATTCAAAACTACAAGGCGGGACTGATTTTAAATTTTAATAAAAAAATCTCCAAAATGCCATTCCGACTTCCAGTTTGGGCATATCCTGCTCTTGACACATTCTGTGGGCTTGATACTCCAGTGAAGTTAAAGTTTTCCTTGCACAAACTGTCTTTCTACTCCTCAGGGATGTTCTGTGCACACAGGCTGGCCAGGGAACCTGCAAAAGCATCACAAACTGACAGTGGGATCACAACTTGGGTTTTTCCCTATGCCTGGTTTCCTAAGGTAAGCATGGGTAGGTGTTTGTCCTCATCTTTTGGTACTGATTGTTACGGAACTACAAAATTTTGCCCTAAATTAAATTCAAAACTACAAGAAGGGACTGATTTTAAATTTTAATTTTAAAAAAATCACCAAAATGCCATTCAAACTTCCAGTTTGGGCATATCCTGCTCTTGACACATTCTGTGGGCTTGATACTCCAGTGAAGTTAAAGTTTTCCTTGGATTCAAAACTACAAGGCGGGACTGATTTTAAATTTTAATAAAAAAATCTCCAAAATGCCATTCCGACTTCCAGTTTGGGCATATCCTGCTCTTGACACATTCTGTGGGCTTGATACTCCAGTGAAGTTAAAGTTTTCCTTGCACAAACTGTCTTTCTACTCCTCAGGGATGTTCTGTGCACACAGGCTGGCCAGGGAACCTGCAAAAGCATCACAAACCCATTCATCAGCCAGCTACATCCAAGGGATTCCTAAAGCAGCCTTAAATCAACATTTTATGTCTCTGTATGATGTTTCTGCATTCTAGTCAACTTCCATAAGTGTTTTGGTTTTGTTTTCTGTGGGGATGATTTTTTTTGATGTTGTTGATTGGTTGGATTTCGTTGATTTTCTTTTCTCCCTTATTCAAGGACCTGAGAATTGCTGACCACTTCTCCTTAGTTAATGAGGTTATTTTCTGTTTTCAAGACATTACACTTTTATAAAAGCATTCTTGTTAAGATAAATACTGTTAGGTGGGGTTGTTTGTTTTCAAAAACTCCTTGAGTGCTATACAAGAGAAGAACAGTGTGTTTCCACTAACATCTACAAAGCATTTGCTAATAGCAAATGAATCACAGCTTATCCATTAAAAACATTTTCTTAATGTACTTTTAGCTGACTGCCAAGGTGGTTTGGAGATATTTAAAGAGAATTATCCCTTTTACCAAATACTACAAGTCCTTGTAAAACCTCTGGTCCCAGTTTTTAATGGGGAGAGAAGCTTTTCCAGAAGCTGGTCCACCTCACTCCAGCGCAGGTTTCTAGGGGGCCTTACTCTTGCTTGGGATCTTTCACTCCCTGGGCATTACAGAGGGCCCTGGACAGCCAGGCTGGATTATAAACTGATCTCAAGAGGTGGCCCTGGTGTCAGGAGATGACTTCTGCAAACTCCCTCTGAGCATGTTTGCATGTGCATGTAGGATCTCACCGACCCTCCGACATTCCCCAAGGATGAAGCAGAATCCCCTGAACTCAACTAGAAACCTTCCTTGAGGAGGATTTGAGCGTTCCTGAAATGAACATAGAGAATAATAAAAATGAATCAGAGATCTGTGGGATAATAATCTAAATTATTATCACGTCTTCTCTTGCCAGACCAGGATATTCTGTATTTCAGCCTTGTGTGTCTGATAAAAATATCTTTAATAAAACATTCCACATGATCTGTGGTTAACAGGCAACCACCGGCTCGGCTGTTCATACCTCTCTTTTTTGCTTCTGTGTATGGGATTGTTTTAAAAACTTGGAAGACTCCAGGTACGTTTTAGCCAAATGACCTGCGGTATCATATTCATGAGCTTGTTCTTTTGATCAGATAATAGGGCACTTTTTCAAATCAGTGCATTACTCATACATTGTCTTACTATCATTAGAATGTGTAAAACTTTCCCCAAAAAATGGGGCCTCAGGCACAGGCTTTTGCACAGATTCTACTGAATACAATTACATGATCCAAGCCCTCTAAGCTGGGGGTGTGCTGAACCACCTTGGTGGTTTGGGAGTGTTTTAAAGCTGAAAAATAAAAGAAATACACAAACAACACACTGAGAGAATTTCTGCTCTGGTTTGTCTTGCGACGACTTTGAAGGGAGGTCACAAACTAATTTTTAATTGACTTGGTTCATCCATGTAAGCAGGGTTCATCTGACCACACAGGACACCACAGCAGAAGGACACAGGTCAGGACCAGGGAGTCTTTCTGGCCCATCTGCCCCAGACACAGGAACAAGATCTAAACCCCTCCTGACATTTGCCTCATCCAGTCTCAAAAAACCAGTGATAATGATAGAAATTCCAGAGTCTGTCCAGCCATCCATTCCAGCATTTCACCATTTCTGGTGCCCAGAATTACTGCCTAATGTTTCAACAAATCTCCCTTGCCACAGTGTAAGGTCATGACTTGTCCTGTCTCTTCTCAGGACCCTTTCACATACTTTGAAAATTTAACCATGTTTCATCTCAGCTTTCTCTTTTTTAAACAAACAGTTCCCTCCACCTTTCTTTGCAAGTCCTCAAGTGCTTTCCCTCTATCCTTTCCTCTGCCCTGGCTCTGATCCATGTCTTCTCTGGAATGAGATGCTCCAAACTGGAAACAGGCGTGGGTGAGATCCCACCAGCCCAGTGCTTGGTGCAGTAGGTACCACTGCCTCTGTATCTGCCAAGTGCATGAAAAACAATCAGTCTCCAAGAGGACAGACAGCATTGGCATTGCTTTTTGCTCCCAAAGTCCAAACCACCATTATGCTCCCAGGAACTGTTCTGAAGCTCATGGAAAACTGCTGGTTCTCTGAGGGGGGG